GCGGCATGAATTGGCTGGTCAACTTCAACGCTTCGAAGACAAAACTGCTCTCTATTAATCACCACAGAATATCCTTCCCTTCCCTCCATTAGAATGTCTGACGCTCAACTTCTCGAGAGCAACTCTCTGGCTGCTCGGTCTCACGTTGACTGCTGACCTGAGATGGAATAAATACATTGAGTCAATTGCCTCGTCCACCGCAAGGATTGTTGGCTCCCTGAGCCGCGCCAGGAAGTTTTTTCTCCCCGGAGTCGATCCTCCAGATCTACAAATCAACAATTCGCCCTTGCATGGAGTATTGCTGCCATATATGGTCTAGTGCCCCTTCTGTTTGCCTCGGGGTTCTTGATAGGCTCCAGAGGCGGATATGCAATGTGGTTGGCCCTGCCCTGGCGTCTCGTCTACAGTCACTTTCTCACAGACGCGCCGTCGCCTCCCTCTGTCTGTTCTGCAAATACTTTCATGGAAATTGTTCCGAGGAGCTGCATTCGCTGGTCCCCAGACGCCATGAGTTCCAGCGCCCTACGAGGCTGGCATCCCGCTCTCACCCCTACACTGTCGAAACTCCTAAATGTTGCCGTCTCTTCTACTCTAATAGCTTCATGTCTCGCACCTCTCGCCTGTGGAACTCCCTTCCCTATCCCTGTTTCCCTGTGAGCTATAATTTCCAGCTATTCAAGTGTAATGTCAATCGACATCTCCAGTTGCCTTGATCTATCCACTACCCTCATCCTTTCTTCTATCACTCCTATCTGATCTTGCTTTAAACTTTCTGTAACCCCTTGCGTCCTAGTGGCTTCCCGCCTTGCTTGGGGTGAAATGCTTAAAAAAAAAAAAAAAAAATTCTGAGATGAGGTATTATGTACATTATTTACATTATTCGGACTATTGTCCTCATCTTTGTCACCATACTTATTACAACGTTTCGGCCATTCAGTATCTGTCTATATTTCTGAGATGAGGTATTATGTACACAATTTACATTATTCGGACAATTGTCCTATTCTTTGTTGCCATATTTATTTCGGCCTTTTAGTATCTGTCTATATTTCTGAGATGAGGTATTATGTACACTATTTGCATTATTGGGACTATTGTCCTCAACTTTGTCGCCATATTTATTACAAAGGTTCGGCCGTTGTAAGCTCCGGCCTTCTTCAGGTTGTTGGAATGTCGAACTGAACTCTTTATTTCATTTCATTTATATCGAACGGAACCCTTTATTTATTTCAGGTGGTTGGTTGTTGCCTTTATCCACTGTGTCATGTGTCATCAAGGACACAGTGGATAAAGGCGTTAGTTAGGTTCAGTGACAGGACCCAAAGAGTCAATACCCGGTTAAGACAGAGGTGAACTTGGAGAGGGGAATTAACAGGAGATAACTGATGACTGACATCCATTGGACATGGCTCGTGGAACTAGAACAGTCTACCCCAGTGAGCGAAATAAAGGGTTTAGTTCGACATTCCAACCACCTGAAGAATGTCGGAGCATACAACGGCCGAAATGTTGTAATAAATATGGCGACAAAGATGAGGACAATAGTCCGAATAATTTAAAAAGAATAACAGGAAATGTTTGGAAGGTGATCAGTATTTCATGCTTGAGTAATAAAGTGTGGTTAGTTTTGTAATTTTCGCGAAAGATATTTTTAAACCATCATAGGAACATCACACTTGGGAGTAGATAACAGGATATACCTTTAGAAAATGGAACAGATTTTAGTTTTCTTACTCTGGTAGTGGAATAGAGATTTATAGCGGTTATTCAGACAGTGAAGGCAAATATGCTTCCAGAGGAGCTGTCATGGTTCACCAAAATGATGTCTGGTAAAATAATCACAATAGTTAAGGAAAACAAGGAAAATATATTGCCAGTAAATTTGTGAATAGTCAATGATTTGCTTGACAGACAAACTTTAACATCGGTACAACCGATTTATGTCTGTTTCAGAAGCATTTCAAATAAAGCGAGAACTGCTGAAGACGTTCTCATAAATATTGATTTAAATCTTCGGAATAACGGACGTGTTGGAATTTCATTTCTAAAGTTCCAATCTAAAATGCAAATTATATTTTCTGATTATGCATTACTCAGCGTGTAATTCTTTTTATGCACGATATTTTTCATATAAAAGTTGACTCAATAAATTCTCGAGAGCCACTCAAGATAGAATACTACTGGTAAAATGGTTATAATGAATAATGGGTGATATGCATGGAAGAGGAGTCGCTAATTATTATAATGAGGAGTATGGAAAATGATTGACATCTGACTTGAAGTGTTTAGGATTATAGTGTTCAGGGAAGTATTACTGTATTATATTCAACAAAGTAGAAGTTTTTTTTTTTGTAAAAAGCTGAGTGGGACGTACTCTTTACAATTTGAATATGGGGAGATGAGTGTGATTCGACTCTGTGGTATTATTATGGTGATTTTCTAAGCGTAGCTTAGATGTGGTACAAGGGAGAAAGCATAGGGCAGCCAGTGAGGATCGCACTCAGTCGTAACTTATATAGTAAGAAAAGCTTGCTAACCATTACACTACGTCGAGGTGCCCATCCGTGGAAGTTGTAATAGTTGTAAAGTGGTGGGACTAAAAATTAGAGCTGATCTGAATATTTGCCATGTAAATAGCGACAGAAATGCAGCAGGAATGGCTACTAAGACATTTAGCCGACAGACATTTAACCGAATGGACATTTAGCCGATAGACATTTAACCGAATGGACATTTAGCTGAAAATGTAGTGGCTTACTTACATGTATGTCACACTCTTTATCGTAATGTGCTACATATATTTATATTTATTTACTGCATTAATTTATAACTTTACAGGGTTTTTTGGATATGATTTTTTTAAAAATCTATTCTGTATATATTATATTTTACTTCAAATATTACTGTAAGAAGATAAGTATTTTGAAAAAAAGCACATTTTACTACAGCAAAAATTTTAAGCTTTTACAATATGAAATATCTTTCAATTTCGCTTTCAATGATCATTATCTTAAAGGGATGAACTAGCTTTTATCATACTGCTAAATAAAAATTTAAATAATTAGGTGGTACTTTTTATCCAAATACACTCAATTATTTTTTTTTTAAATATGAATTTCAATAAACAAATATTGAAATAAGAACACTTTTAACTTTCAATTTAGATTTAGTAATTTAATCACTTGAAATTCAGTGGTAGTTATTAGTCCTATTCTACTTTATAATACTGCTAATTAATATACTTAATGTATAACTTGTTAATATTTTACTTGCAATTTTCGGTGAAATGGTCGTCGGCCAAATGTCCAGCCACAAAAGGCTTTAGACGTTGTGTCTCCGGATAAAGGGCTGCAGAATGGAAAATGTTTACCCTACAAAAATGCGTAAACGATTATAAACTCCATCAAGGCTGGAAAGTTAGTATTGAACACAATAACAAATATGGCAGATGCAATAGTTTAATTATTATTATTATTATTATTATTATTATTATTATTATTATTTTCTTTGATTTCTGGCGTTTACACATTTCTTTCAGGGTCCCTCCCAGGGACCTAAGGTTAGAACTGGCGTCATGACACTTTCCACTGACAAAAAAAAAAAAAAAAATTAAATTACATAGATAAAGCCCTTCGGAAGTTGTGGGCTGTACTTGTCAGAACAATTTTTTGTATCTCCTTGAGGCATGGACTTCCAGGAATCTCTTCAATTAATCTACTGCAATCTTTTCCAACAAATCCTAGGGCTCCAACTACAACAGGGACTGCCATATCAATAAGGAGGCACCGTTTTTGTTTGTGGTCTTTAATAACAATATCTGGCCGGTTGGCCTTGATTGTTCTGTCATTATTATTATTATTATTATTATTATTGTTATTATTATTATTATTATTATTATCAAATCTCACCCATTTAAAGATAAAATAGGGAAGATGGTATGTTATGAAATATAATCACTAGCGATGTGAAAATTATTTAACTCGTTGTTACATTCAGGGAAATAATTTAAAATTGAAAATGAAACAGAATACAATGACAAAAGAACTTATATACGATTAATTCGATTCCAGAGGAATACTGTTTGTAATGAATCTTTGATATCAAGACAAACTGCCCGGGCGCAATTTATTTTCAAATGACATAATGGAAAAGAAAAAAAAATGATTTTATTAAAGAGGTCAGCCGTTGATTATGTGGATTTATAATGTCCAAAACTGTATCCAAATGATAATTGCCTTGGGAGTAGAGGCTTTCTGGTGCATCATGTATTTTTCAGGCCTGTCACATTTCGACAATCGTTTGTTGTGCGCCATTAAACAGTTCTTTGTTTGATAAGTGGTTTCGATTGTTTTAAGATATGGAAAATGCCTGGCACGATATATCGAATCAAGCAAATATTTTACCTGAACGGTTGCACGTTTTCAGACAAAAAGGTAGGAACATATTTTGATGACTTAATTATCCTATGAATTTATTCGATTAGAACTACTTTTCTGAAAAACTTGCTGAATCTATCAAGAACTTAGCTACCATTTCTTTCTTTTATTTTAATATATTTATCTTTCTTTTTCACCTTTCACTTCTTTCTTTCTTTCTTACTTACTTAATTTCTTTCTTTATTTATTTGTTTATGCATTCATTCAAAATCATTATTTTAGAATTATTATATTTTTTTTACATGTTCACTCTGTTTAAGTGGGTAGAGGCGTTTTGTGAGGCGATGATAGCAAGTAGGGGCTTATCGAATGGAGATAATGTACCAACCCGTCGATACAAGAAAAGAAAACAAATAAATAAAATATAGAAATAAAAGAAAAAAAAAAACAAGAAAATAAATACGTAAATTAAAGAAAGGATGATAAAGAAGAAAATAATGAAATAAGAAAAGAAGAAAAAGATCAAAAGAGAGAAAAGAAAGCATGAAGGAAGAATCAAAGTAAAAGTAGAAAGAAAAGAAAAAATACAAATTAAGAAATAAAGAACGAAATGAATAAAAATAACTAAATAATAAAAAGTAACGAATGTAGGAAAGAAAGAGAGGAAGAAAGAGAAGAAGAAAGAGAAGAAGAAAGAGAAGAAGAAAGAGAGGAAGAAAGAGAGGAAGAAAGAGAAGAAGAAAGAGAAAAGAAAGAAAGGAAGAAAAAGACATGAAAGTAAACGTATAACTTAAGGAAAATAAAAGAATTACAAATTTTAAAAATGTAGAACAAAATGAATAAACAACTAAAGAAAAAACAAAAGAAAGAAATGAATGAAAGAAAGGAAGAAATGAAGAAATTGAAAAAAGAAACGATAGAAAGAAAAGAAAAAAAGCAAGAAAATAAAGATATAAATAAAAAAGAAAAGAACGAAATAAAAAAAACGTAAGAATGAAAAGTACAAAAGAAAAATAAGAAGGAATGAAAGAAAGAAAAGAAAGGAAATATATAACGAGGTTAATTACCATTTTCGAACTGTACTTTTATCGAATTATTTTGGTGTCGTCTAATTTAACCTAACCTTCGTCAATTCTTTTCTATTTTACTTTTATTATTTAACATCTTTTGTTGTGAAATGAAATAAAACCCCAAAAGACATTACTAATTATGTTTGCATTTAGGAAATATTAAAAGGTTTGCATCCCTTTTTTATTACTAGTCAGTGTTTGTGTGCGGGGTTGGGTGCATGCACTTTACCTATCAATTAAGAAGGTTGTCGCATTGAACAGAACACTGGCATATTCATAACAACATTGTTGTTGAATAAATCAAACATAGGACAGATTTAGTAAATATGTATACTCCAAAATATTTTCAAGTACATACCAAATGATTTATATATGTATATTTCTTAGGTGTTAAATGAGATATTAACAGAATAAAATAATTATATGCCATAAATGACATGACCGTTTTATTTCTGGCATAAGGCGACAAGGGTGAGAGATGTTAGCAGTTATATATATATATATATATATATATATATATATATATATATATATTATTTATATATTATATGTGCGATACTTATTAGAAAGCGCTCAATATCAGAGATAGAACAAACTCACATCAATCCAACCAAATATATATATATATATATATATATATATATATATATATATATATATACAGAGAGAGGAGGAGAAGGAGGAGAGGAGGAGGAGGAAATGATAAAGGCGGCCGATTTGAGGTTTTGAGAGGATTTTTGCGACAATGACAAAAGAATCGAGCATCGAATTTTATTTCATGCGGAAATATGCAGCACATTTATTTATTTAATTTTTCTACGGTTCGAAACATTTACAGGATTTCAGGTTAAAAAATAAATAAACAATGTTCAATATCTATTGAGAATCTTCACCTTTCGTAAGTCATTGTCAATGAATATTTTCTGTGGCCATAAAAGGAATTATGCTCGTTGCGCGATTTATGAGTGTTGCGTCGTCACTCGACGGTATGATAATGATTTTTTTTCAATTACACAAACATATAGACACACACGCATACAGACCCAATGTTTGCGACCACCCAAAAAAATATTGGTCAACAAACGCTCGATCGCCTCCATACGGTTCCTGAAAAGAGGGAGTGCAGCCAAGCGGTAAATGATAAGGGGCAATACTTAAGCAGCACACACCTCAGACCTGCTCTTTAAGGACAATCTCCTTCGGAGCCAAGTCTCGGCCGACGCTCCGACCTTTGCCTGTACATCTGAACAATTCTTTTTCAGATGGAGCCCAGGCCCGAACCACACTCCAAGAAGGCGGACAGGTCTATCAGTCCATCCAAACGGCCCCGGAAGCGCGACCCCCTTCAAGGCACCTAACCGCAATCCGGAAGACTTCTTACGGTTAATCTTGGCCCCTGTCACCTTCTCGTACAGTTCAAGCGCCTTCTGTACTACCTCAAATGTCGCGACGGCTCAACACGAGAATGGATACGTCATCAGCGTACGCAAAAACACTGACTCGAGCTCTACCAGGGAAAACGGCTATTCCGCGTATGGCCGGACTTCACGCCCTGTTCCTCAGCCGGCGAAGGAGGGGTTCCAACGCCAAAGCATAAAGTAGGGGCGAGAGCGGTCAAACCTGTCGAACCGACCGTAACATCGCAAAAGCGCTCGACCGCTTCCCGTTCATCTCTACCACCACACTGGGAGAGCGATACAGGAGGCTGATCCACTTGCAGAAGTCGGGTTCGAATCCGGCGACCTGCATGACAGCAGCTAGGTAATGATAGTCTACTATGTCAAATTCCTTGGACTGATCCAAATTGATCAGCGAGGCTTGCTCCTCGTCTTTTACTCACATTATGATCGTGCGGATCAGATGCAGGTTGCTTTGAATTGTTCATCCCCTCACTGCACCCGTCTACTCGGTTCCCAACTAGCTCGTAGCAACTGACTGCAAACGCTCCGTCAGGATCTTTGCCAAAATCTTTAACTCTGTGTTTAGCAGAATTATGGGCCTATAATCATCTAAATCTCTCCCAACACGCTTGCCCTTTTTCAACAGGGTGATCATACCTCTAGAAATCCGGTCGGGAATGGACCCCTGGTGGAACCAGAAAGCCGAGGAAAGTCAGCCAAATAGCTGCTAAACTCGTTGCCACTTGGTAAAACGGTTCTCGAAATGCTGCCGAAACGCCTCGCACATATCTCTGGTCGACTTCAGAATAAATCCCTCGGGATAGTGACGTCACGAATGTATCGATCGGAACCTAGACGTATCTCTCTTCCTTGCGCAATTCAGCGTCCATGTTCACTGCTTCGTTAGACATCTTGTTTAAACTATATTTAACTAATTGACCCTGATAGCGCTTGCTAGCCTCACCCTTCAGGGCCTGTCTATCTACGACTATCTCTAGGGAATCCCCCAGCCACCTCCAGCCACTATCCTTTTAGCCTTACCTAGGGAGAGTCGTTGGCTATATTCAGTGGTGAAGGGCCTGATGCTATTCATAAGCCTCTCTCACCACCTATTCCCAATAACCAGTAAGGACAGATTGAACTTCCAGTGTCCAGACATTCTAGGCCTACTGCCTAACATCAGCCGGGCACAGACGAGTCTATGATCCGAATGGTATAAAGGGTGTAACGTGGGACAATCTAATAAATTTAGGTCGACCTTTCTGATTAACATTCTATCCAGATAGCTGGCTACCTGGAGAGACGGCCAATTACGAGCCCACGTTCACATCTCTCGCCCCAGATGATCGACCCGGTATCTATCGACGAACCCAAACTCGCCGATCAGATCATCCGTTGCCTTCCCACTAGCACACCGTCCACTGTTTATCTTGGGGACCAGGGTGGCATTGCAGTTCCTCATTAAGACTAATCGCGAAAAATCCACCAGGCACGGCCCCAACTGACGAACAATGTCGACACGCTCCTCATAGTCGTTAGGCGCATAAACCGCAACGACCCGAAACGAACCACTGTTCACGACAATATCAGTCACGAGCAACCTACCCCCAACGTCCACATGGACAAGGTCCACCCTCGCCCCCAGGGAACGCTTGACTAACAAGGAAACACCTCTGGTCAGCCGGTCCCCTTATGCTGAATAGACGTACATATGTTTTAGGTTTAATAACTTTAATAAAAATTTTGTTTTCCACATAAGACATATAATAATTGGAAAAGCACGGCATGAGAGAGTTTCCCATACTTACTTCATCCGTTTGTGTGTAAATAGTAACATTTTGGCTATAAAAAGTAACTCTAGTGGTGCAAGCGAGCAATAGTTTTCTTAAAATATTTGGTTGGATTGATGGAGGTGGAATTAAATTATTTTATACACCGAATTAATGATTAAATCAATAGTTTCGGAGATAGGAACGTTAGTAAATAAATTCTCTACAAGTGATACAAGAATGCCTTGGTTTGTTTTGTTTTGTCCTTTAAGTATTTGGAGGAATTCATGGGTAG